ATGGTAAAACTTTCGCTTTTTGAATCGTTACGCATGGCAAATCGAAAATTTGGCAGTTGTGTTAAAGTGTTAAACGGCTGTATTTAACAATGTAACAATTTGTAGAGGCGAAAATTATACGTACACACACAAACACAACAACACAATCCCTTTTTATAATGACCTCATTTAATTTTCGTTTTTGTGTGTTTTTTCTCTCGCGCTCGGATAGATATAGGCAGAGAGAGAGAGAGAGAGAGAGAGAGAGAAAGAGAGAAAGAGAGAGAGAGAGAGAGAGAGAGAGAGTAGAAGAGAGTCTGAGACCGTCATTTTTTGTGTGTGTTTCTTATTAGGAAATGGAATTGATCGAATGCATGAATGAATGGCAAGAACATGTGTCATTTGCTTTGCTTCGATTATATTAGACGATATTCTATGACACATCGATTTTGTTTTATGAATGAACGATTGAATGAATCAAAGGCAAACGACCGTTTACCGGATTCTATGCCAAAGGTAGGTAGGAAGTGTGTGTTTTTTTGTCTCTCTCTCTCTCTCTATCTCTCTCTCTTTCTTTCTTTCTCGTTTCATTCGACGTCATATCTATCAATGGGCTCTGCCAGAATATTCATGAGTTGGATTATTTAAAAAAAAAATAAACGTTTTGTTTCGGTGTCATTGCATTCTAAACGCAGCAGATTTCATAACATCGCGCGCTGGAAACTATGTGGAATCCATAAATTGAAACCGAACCCAACTGAACAGAACGTTTAACGCAGAAACGAACAAAAAATAGCAAACAATAACTGTCTATTGTGCGTGTAACGCAATTGCAGTCGAAACAGAACGAGAGAAAAAACGACAGCAAAAACATCGACGATGAAATCGTTCATAAAATTTGCACATTATGAATGTGTCTCTGCGGTAGCGGTAACTTTTTTTCGACTTTTTTTTTGCATTCCAATCCTTAAAAATGCAGACTTTTGCGCATATTTTATAGCGAAACCAATCGATTTAAATACAGGCACAAATCGATTGGGATGCGAATACAGAACAATTTTTAAAATACTGGGTGGATTCTTCTATCATGCGAAGTATTTAGAAAAAGAAATCAATAGCAAAAAGTGTGCGAATTCAGTGTATAATCGATGAAATGCGTGAATTTTGTGAGCCAGAATGCGGCGTGAATCATAAACTAAAATTCATCAATTGAACGATAAAGCTGCTAGATTCGGTAAACAAATTTCGTTTTCGGTATAAAGTTATTCTTTTGTTTTTGTTTTTTCATCACAAAAGCGAATAAAACGAAATCAAAAGTGTTTTATCAGATGTAAATTTTTTGACACATCTCTGAATGGCCCATATAGCGACTAGATGAACACAAAGCGCGCCTTTTTCTATAGTTTAGCCGAGTCATTCTCCGTATGAATCCGTCGACCGGATATTTTATTAGCTGGAAATATCACATGTATATAATTCCGCATGTGCCAAATATGCATCGTCGTGCTTCAAAATGTGTGCATGGTGTGGCGTACGCACATTGTGGCCCCCGCTCCATTCCTGCTGGCTACATACTATTCAGACACATTTTATTTCTTCTGCCTGTTTTTTTCGGTAACACATTTTTGTTGATTTCCCAACTTTCACTTATTTGCCGAAAAAATAAAACCGCCACACACACACACAGCGAGTTACGAAGAGAGGAGACAATGATTTTGCTTTTTCAAATAAACAATAGTCACATAAGTGAGCACTAAACACGGCATGTCATGACTCCATGACTCATAACTGATGTGCGATATTTGCACGTTAATTGTGTGTTTGAGGCGAGAAAGCATGGGCAAATACACACACACACGCACACATAGTGGCTGAAAATCATTCATCTAATTGAATAAAAATGAAAAGTAAACGATTTCGATCGCTTCGAGCCGATTTGACAACGGATTGTTAACAATTGTATATCGGTTAATGGTTGTAAGCACAAATTTCAATGCCAATAACGAAGATAATTTTGCGGAATTTCCTATTGGTGCAGCAATTAGATAGACCGTCTAATCGATTCCAGTGAATATTCGGAATTGTCATTATGACGTCGATCATATCGATTCGGTCAACGATGGTATCGATTCTATGTACAAATTCAGCGGGTGATCATTTAGAATGTATTTGACAAATTTGTGCTTCATTTTTTCTCACCATAACGTTTTGCCTCATTTGACCAAACATTTATCAGATCAGTTGAGCAAAATAGAAGAAAAATGTGCCACTGGAATTGTGTGTCATTGTCCAGACAAAAATATGTTTCCAACCCGAAAATATCGATACATATGTATAATGTCGATCATTTACCTCATTCTTGTAGGTGCCTTTGTCCACCTGAACTGCGTAAATGCACAATGCACGTATACCTAATTGGTCGCATGACGCTCGAAAAACAAACGACACTCGTTTATTTCTCTCCTTCTTTCTGTCTTATTGCCTCTTCTGGTTTCGAGACGAGAGAAAAATCGAAAACAAATAACGTTACCTGCCATCTTCGCCTGGGATTGATTTTTAAACATCGTGATTTAAATGTGCGAATTTCGATTTCGCCTTCGAAAATGAAAATATTCACACAACTGCTGTGTAAATACAGGCGTTCTCTCGCTCTCGACTGGCTTGGACTCGCTTTTGCGTGCACACACACATCCACACGAAACATCTGCTTTACGCGCACGCGAACCTCACATATGCGACAATTATTCCGAGAGAATCGCAACAAAGCCACACGATGATGACGAATTCCGTGTTGCTGCACGTTCATTAATGACGACTTACTAACGAAAACAAACAATAATAATCGCTATCACTTTGCCAAATAGACGCAACATACGGCATTAGAATATCGGTAATCAATATGGACAACAACAACAACGATAGACGCAGCTCTGTCTGCAAACGGCCGTTTTGACGGCGATTAGTACAATTTAATTACATCCAGCGAGATGATTGAAAACAAATTTATCGCAAATAACGTTACGTTTTACGTTAATCGCGTCATATTTTTCACATGTAATAGCGACAATTATTCGGAAAATAGCCACTTTTGTGACCTCATACATCATTTCTATATGTTGAAAGAGAGAAAAATCAATATTTTTGAAAGTGTTAACAAAAATTCCGAATAATTTCGGGATTTTAAAACAATAAGCGAAATCCAGTGATGTTACCAAAGTGATAACAGTTTTTTTTTTGCTTCTATAGAAGTAAATTATTATAGATTCGGATTTGAAAAAGAAATGAATGAATGAATAAAAACAACAGAATAAAATTCATATTATATCATGAGAATTTAGCGATAAAAAATGGACCCAATGTACAAATAATGAAATTAGGTGACGAGAAGAAAGGCGGTTTTTTTAAAGTGAAAAAACTTGTAGTAGTACGAAATTCTTCTAAAAAGTCTTCACATTTTCAGCCAAGTAAAGGAAGGTCGGTTGATTCGTTATGAAGGAGCCATAAGGCGATGAAGAATACGTATTCTGGTAATGATACGTAATGATACCATTATCACATTAACTTCGCAATTTTCACCAATCTTGCAAGCTGCCGAGTATTCTTATCCGTTCCGTTCAAGTTCAAACTTGATTCTTCTCAAAATAAACTGAAACATTTGTAAGCTGTTTAAATACGAACAAGACGCTTAATGATTTTAAAAACAAAGGAAATCGATTTTGCTGAATCGATGAAATTGATGATTCCAAAAAAAAAAATTGGGAAAATGCTTCAATGCTCATCACAGGGATAGCATAACATTATTTGCAAACAAAAGTGTCTCCAAACATTGAGCATGGGGTGTAGACGCACGCTCGTAGTGCAAAGAGCACGGTTGTAGACGCATTTACCTCGCGCCCACATTGTCAAACATTGCCTTCAAAATGCGTTGCGTTGTTCGTTTGACAGCTACTGGATGTCGGAAGATCCATTGAATTTAAACAGATTCTCTGAAAGAAGAATTTCTCTTTGCGCCTGGAATAAAAAACATACACTGAAAACAGAAAAGTTTGAATGATAAAAACTGCGGAACTTTACATTTTAAATTGTGTGCGTATTTATTCAAATTGGTCATAATTCTAATACATTGGTAATCCACATAGAAAACTAATTCATCTGAATAAAACTGTAACCATTTTCTTTTGTTTTCTTCAACTTTAACGAAATAAATCGGTCGTGCGCACACTGGCAAATGCGTTCATTTTTTTTGGGAGAATTGTACAATAGTTTGCATATTGTCAACGGCGCACATAAACATGAATATAAAAAATAAATTTTGATATATTTTCTTTGAACTTTTCTTTCCAAAAAAAAAAGATTTGGATTAAAAGAGCATCTTTTTTTTCATCAACAACATTTTTTTTTCTCAGTTCAACGAAATCCGAGCAAATTTGTTCAATTCAACGTGTTTGAATCAAATGTGATCAATTTCAAATGGATTTGAATGAAATTGCATTAAATTTTGAATAGAATGAATCAATAGGTGCTTACGGGTACTATCTTTCGGCCACTTTAAATTGATATCTTTGATAGTTTTCATGAATGAAGGTAATTTATACCGAGTAGAAATGGTTGTGCAGGGCACGTGTCTTAATAGACATATTCTTTAGAATCAATTCTTACAAATTTGATTGAACCAAACCAGATGGTACGATTTTTAGAGCGATCCGTTGAACTGTGTTTACATTGCTTTGAAAGATCATTCAAGAGACGAAAAAAGATGAAGAAAGGGAAAAAGAAACAAAACGACATAGTACATACAAGTTCCTTCTGATAAATATATTTGTTTCAAATCTAAATAATATATTCATAATTTGATTAATGTTGTTGTTATAGCTTGCAATAAGTAATTGGACAGTGGCCGCATTGCGTGGGCACCGCTTCGTTAAATCGTTTGCATGGTTTTTGTTGTAGTAATTCTTTCGTTACACGAAAATGCTAACACAAACGAAATCTATACTCTTTCTTTGCTATTCATTTAAAAAAAACCAATTAAAGAGACATGTTTTTGTTTTGTTGTTCTTCATCATTTTTTTCATTCAATTAAATATGCGTATGAAATAAAATCTTATCAAATAAAACTGAAAATGAGACAAAATAAACAAATTAACCAAAACATGTACAATAGATTGTTTTCTTTTATTATTTTAATTATTATCATTATTTTACATATGTATATATTTGCTTGTGTTTCGCTCTCAGCTTAGCTGTGTGAATGGATGCAACCGTTAGACATGTGAAGAGTGCGAGAAAAAAAAAACAACAAAAGTGAAATGAATTTTGCGGATGCGTTTTGGTAAGTAGGGATTTACCCAAGTAATTTGCATATTGACCAACATGCGTCAGTCAGCATTCAATGCGACCAAAATGAAATCATGATCAATTTGCACTTTTCACTTCCATCCAATCGAGTTGCACACACACCCACACAAGCATATCCAGAGATCCTATTCTATAACCTTGGTAACTTGCCCGGCGCTTTGAAAAAAACGTTTCGTTTGATTTCTTTTTTGTTTTTTTATTCAACGTGTTTTTTTTTGTATTCAATGAATACTATTCATTTTCTTTATTTCTTTAAATAAACTTAATTGTTACGATTACAAAGGTTTTTTCTTTCTTCGTTAAGTCTACAAGTAAGCAAGAAAAAAAAATATTTAATTGACGAAAAAATAGAGAATAAAAATAAAAACAGAACAGAGAAAAAACTCATTTATTTTTGGGCAATTGCTTTGCAAAAACTGTCCATTTTTTTTTTCTTGTATATATAAAGCAAATAAAACCATAAAAAAAATGGAAATTAAACACTGTCCTTAGCGAATTAAAAACGAATGAAAGCTACAAACCGAAATGCGCAGATATACATCAAATCTTAAACTTAATAGCTAACAATTTTTGTTTTGTTTCTTCTATTCAAAATGTGTGTAGTTCTTTTGTTTTCAATTGTAACAAAGAGAAAAGCAACAACAAAAAAACACATTTGATTTTACATTCTTAACATTTTTTTAGACCTAAAAGAAAAACTAATGAATGAATACTTATACAAAACAAAACTAAAGAAGTAAAACGAATTGATTGTGGTGGACATTCGATGTTGTTGTTGTTTTTTTTCTTTGATAAATGGTAAAGACACTAATGAAAAAAAATTCTATAGTAATGATTTGCAAATGTGATGGTAAGAAGTGGTGGTTATTCGCGGTGCGTGTATTTGTGCATAAAAATAAAACAAAAATTTCATCTAAATTCTATAATTATGTTATTCTGAATTTTCCCCTTTTCGAAATTTCGCTTTTATTTAATCTCACTTTCAACCGCAGAAAGTTCAATAAATGCAACTCCAAATATTTTGTCGCCGTTGTTGTTCGTTCGTTTTTGTATCTGAACCAATTGGTTTCTGGTTTTTTGGTTGGTTTTTCGAGTTCTATCTATGTGTTTTTTTTGTATGTTATCAATGATATAATCAGTCCAAAATATATCGAAATTGTACAAACTGTTGTGCCGGTCTTGGCAATTCGAAATGAAAGTGAAACATCGACTTCGTTTTTGTTTCTTGTATTTTCTATTCTTTTTTTTTCACTCGTTAATGCAGAAACCATTAGGTAACTTTCTTAATGCAAAGCACCAGCCACAATGAGCTGCGCGCTAATCGTTATATTTATTCTTCTCGTATATATTTTATTACAAAATGAATTAGATTAAAAACATATTTTAAGAGAGAGAGAGAAAAAAAGTGAAAAAATACCCGTTTTCGTGGTAACCAACGATTTATGTCTTTTGGAAAAGAAATCATTTAGTAACATTCTATCCCGGCCCCCTGTATAGCCAGCCGGTTTTGTCGGTTCGGCTCTTTTTCCTCCTTTTTTGCTATATAAATCAGTTATTGCACAAAGAATCCATTTTTCAGAATTTTTCTTTCTTTTTACAATACAGGTAACTGGTGCTTATTCGGCTATTAATTTACAGTAAAGCAATCACAATGATCGGTTTTCTTTTCTCGTTTTTTTTTTCTTTCTTGCGCGTCCATCATATTTAGCATCTCAATAGCACTCACTCTCTCCACTCCAAACCAATAGAATTAGTAAAAGCACACACTTTTTACTGGGCAGTTGTTAATGGAGTGGATATGAACTCGACTTTGATTGTAGTTTTTTTTTTCCTGGAGAAATTTACTCGCTTCTTTGGAATTCGTCATTTGCTTTGTTCAGCAGAGATTTACATCATGTCAATTACATGCTTCAAAGGCGAGTGAATTTCGGATGAAAACCAATTTTGACTCAAAATTTTTGAGTTGGTTGAAATGGCAAGTTTTGTTGAAACTTCAGTTGGATTTTGTTTTATTGACACTCAAATTGGATTTGAAAGAAGACATTTTGACAGACAATAAAAACGAATTTGAATTTTTTCAAAAACAGAAACCAAAAGCATTTTCGGAAAATTGTTTAAATTTTCTGGATTCCTTACAGAAACGCGGTGTTTTTTTATACAAAATTAACGCAATTCTCCCAACATGAAATGTTTGCTGATGATCAAAATTTCAATCAGTCGTTTGAAAATTATCGAAAATGTTTGAAAAATAACGAATATTCAGGTAATCGATCAAAGAAAGATCGAAAAATCTTCAAAATTGATCGGAAAAATCCGAAAATAAACAGAACACTCTTCGAACATAATCAAAAATTGATTGAAAAGTGTTCAAGAATGATCATAAAAGTTCGAACGTTTCAAAAAGTGACAAATTTTTTCTACACACAATGATATGAATTTATGCACTTCTTCATAAACACAATCTGATTGTGTATCAGATAGATAAGAATCATCACGTTGCGAATGGCGCAAGAGAATGATTTTGGCATGAGTTTTTCGTCTTCTTATTTTTTTTCTCCGTGTTATTCAACGACTCATTTTGAGGCCATAATTCAAACAAATATATTTTTTTCGAGTTATTGAAGTTTCTACGCACAGCGTATGCGCATCGAAACTATTATTTACTAAGTAACTCTCTTCAACAATACAAACGCACACAATAATGTGTCGAAGCGCCTAAATTCGAGCGGCGTTATCTGTACACGTAATAAAACTATGATTTCGAAATGGCATCGCATAAAGTTCAAGCGAGTGTTTGATCCGTGCGCAGCGCAGTAACATTTCGAATGAAATTTTTTCGATTTTCGTTCATAGATCGCATTTCATCGAATGAATGCGGCCCGAAAATTCCAAAGCAGCATGGGTGTTTTTGTACGAATCATCATCAACATCATCATTGTTTCGTTTGTGAATGGCGAAAATGAAATGTGCGTTAATTGAATGAATTCACCGAGACTCTCTCTCTCTCTCTCTATCCGTGTGTCTCATATTGGGTGACGTGTGTTTGTCAAGATGAAAATGCCAGAGTCGAAAAAAGTGCACGGCGACTCAAAGATCGAATAGACAGAAAAAAGAAGAAGAAGAAGGAGGAGGAGGAGGAAAAAAATAACAACTGTGTTCATAATGTGCAACGCACGCTCTGCTGGCACACTGGCACACTGTTTGGCTATGCTACACTTATCGCCTCGTGAAATGTGTGTTCGAAACGTGAGCGAATCGAGTAAAATTGTAACTACTTTTTTTTAGATACATGTATGTGCATGATCGTTGTATATGAAATACACAATCGAGAATTTATACTAAGTCATAAAAGAGAGATAAAGTATGCAACGAATTTGTTGTCATCATTGTGTGTGTACAAGCGATAGAGAGAAGACGGAAAATTAAGTTGATTCAAGCTAAAAAGCCAGGCAACCGAAACAAAAAGTTTTGAAGAAGAAGAAGAAGAAGAAGAAGGAAAAAATGAAACCAACAACAAATATCATGATCAATATAATATAACTGCTGAACGAACGCATGAGCGCGTACTTCATTTTTGGAATAGACATAAAACCAAAACAAAAACACACACACACACACTGCTCGTATGTACATACGTCCAAGCGCACGGGAATGAAACGAATTAAACTGAAGAGAAAGAGAAAGAAAAAAGCGTACACACAACAGCAGCAGCAGCAGCAGCAACAACAACAACAACAACATCAGCATGAAAATGAAAACGAAAATGAAATTCAAAATGCGTGTACATAAAAAAAGCGAGGAAGTAATATGTATGTATGACCTACTTATTTACTGCGTTGCTTCGGCTTTTGTTTTCGGTTTTAATATATGTGTCGCTTTTATAGCATTGTAATGCGTTGCGTTACTCGATGCCGAGTCTCTTCTTCTTCTTTCTTTTTCTTTCGCTCATTTCATTTTCATCGTCTTCTACGCCTCATCCATCGAATGTGTTTCTTTGACGAATTTTGGACACAACTTGCATCGCACACCAAATATGAGCTCTACACGCGCACATTCATCGCATCGCACACACACATTCTCTCTCTCTCTCTCTCACTCTCTCTCTCTCACTCACTGTGTGCATATGCCGATTCATATCCGTCACACTCCACGGGCGTGCTACAATCGGGATTTCATGTTGCGAACTTTGCATAATATGTCAACAACAGATTGGATGCGATTTGTGTTTTTTTTTCTTCAATGATTTACAGAATAGTTCAGCACAACAAATGATCTTGATTAGGCATCGAGAATGCTCTTCACTACATTCAATGCTCTCATTTTGATCTTGAATTTTCGGCGATAACTGGATGTGCTAAAACGTTCTCAATTATTGCATTTCAGACATTGTACGTGTAGCAAACACCCCCAATCAGCAGTTATGTGCAGTGGAAAAGATCTGTTTTTTTTGTGTGTGTGTGCTTCCAATGGAATCTTTATTGATTTTGCCACAAACAAGTGTTTTTTTTTCATTCCAAAATGCCTTGTACAAACAGATTTGCACTACAAAAGATGACACTTTTTATGTAAAGAGTCTTTCTTTACTTTAGATATTTTTTCAAGCGCTACAAATATGCTTTTCTTCAACATTATAAATGTGCGGTTTTGTTTTGACTTGATCTTTAAAATAAAATCTTGATTACAACGGCAAAAGTTCAAGCTCAATGCATTTGATATGGTTGAATGTGCAGGTTGGGAAGCCTTGCGATCAAGCATTACTGTCCAAACAGCGTGTGTGTGTACGTGCAAGTACACGGGTGCATATTTTGAGAATGGTTGCTATTTTTTGCTACTTGTAATCTTCCCTATGCCATTTTCAATCCAATTCAACGTTTTTTTTAACCATTCAAAGTGTGTGTGATCCACTCTATTACTACTGGAACAAATGATTTTTATTTTGTGAAATTCATTTTTCATTTGAAAACTTTGTATCGAATGAATAATCAATTTTTGATTTAAATTCCCCCAAAAATGTTTAATTTGCAATCTAAATTTTAAGTAAATCAAAGTTTTCTTCTGGACAATTTACGTTCAATTGTAAATTCTTCGTCAGATTTCAAAGTAGGTAAAAAAGCGGGTGCTGTTTCATAGACTATGCATTTTTTGTTCTAATGGAAAATCATTTAAGAATCAAAATTTGATTATTTAAACACGAAAAAAAAATCAAAAGCAGTGAAATCATAAAATCTTTACTTAACCAATGACCAACATTAGCTTAAACCAAAATGAAAATACGTAAATTTGCAGTCTAGCCCATAATTAACTGAAAATTTAGATGTGTAAATGAGTTTGGTGATGGAAAGCAATCGGAAATCGTTCGCCCAATTCGGATGGAGAATGGGAATGATTTGTGTGTGTGTGCGTAAGTCAACATGTCATAGCAATGATTTGATACTAAAATTGATTGATCGTTGAACAAAGTCTTTGGCAAGTGTGTGTGTGTGATATTAAAAAAGGGCTCGACAATTCAGTCGTTGTTCAAATTTTGCTAGACTGGTTGTGGCTATTTCGAGTCGATAACAAGAATGACAATAAAAGAAAACCGAAAAAAGAATTAATCAGTATCCATATACAAGCATGGAGTGCCAGTGAGTGGAATAGATAGAAAGTGTGTACGATGAAAATAATTGAGCAAATCGGTTCCTTGTGTGTCGATTTTATTTGTGTCCTGGCACTTTCGCCACTGGTATGAACCTATGGTTCTTTGGATTGAGAACTGTGTGTGCGCGTGTGTAATTGTTGACAAAACTGCGGTGCGAAAAGTCGAGTTCGGTGTTGCAGTGGTGTTCACGGTACCAGTATAGCCTATGCCATTGCCATTGTCTTTGTTATTTTCATTCTGTATGTGCCTCTATATACAATTTATATATTTTTGAATCCAATTTTACTTTCGCGCGCGGCGCATGTTGTTTACTGTCTTTACTCGGTCGGTTCTTTTTTATTCTGCTTAATTTAATGCGATTTACTTGATTTTATTTGTTATTTTTCATAAGAATTATTTTTTTTTTTGCTTTTTCTACTCGTTTCATTTTCATAGGTATTTTCTATATGTTTATATGTATCGATCTTGCGCTCACTCATTCACTCCTTACGCTATTGCATACGTCGTCTATTTCACTCGCACGCCCCGACCGACCGACCGACCGTTCGTTCTTTCGTACGTACGATCGATCGTTCGTTCGTTCGTTCGCTCGCTCACATGCCATGATCGTTACTAACTAAGCTTAATACATTACGACAGATATTATTTACTTCTGGATTGTTGTGATTCATTAAGTGGACGTACAATTGTTTGTGCAACTGGATTTCGTTGGTCATTTCTTCGAGACGTCTTATCAATGCATCTTTTTCTTTGATCAGTGTTTTCACCTTTTCTTCCACTTCGCGTGAACGAACTTTTGCCTTTTCGCGACTTTTTCGCACGGCAATGTTGTTGCGTTCGCGCCGTCGACGGTATTCATCGGTGCCCTTATCAACATGCTTACCGTTCTGTTTGCGTTGGTTCATCATTTGTTTGTGCTTCAAATTGGCCAAATGATTACCTGGTAAATGCGGCAGTCCTTGATGATGCAGCGTCGGCGTTGACAATGTGGTGAATGTGTTGCCGCTGCCGTTTGATGCATAATTCGGTGGTATTTGATATAAACCGGCACCACCGCTGCCAACGGCCACATTTTGATTGCCCACCCCAATGAATTGGCCACCGTTTACGGCAACGGCAGCCGCGGCCGCTAATCGACGATATTCCTGCGGCTCAACTGGCTCCTGTAAGGACGAGCAAGTATAATTCATGTGTGAGTTTTGTTCATTCAATTCCTAAGCACGAGAATGAAGAGATAAATTTGGATTTTGGTTTATTTTTTGCACATTTAATAGTTACATAATTTTTGTTTTTTTGCTTGCTTTTTAAAATGAACGAAGAAAAAAAAAACGAAAGAAAAAAGTGGTGATGATGTAATTATTAAAATCACAATAGACACACAAAAAAAGCGAGACCCAGAAAGAGAGAGTGAACAGAAGAGATAGAGAAAGGGGGAAAAAAGCAAAAAAAAACAGAGTGTAAAAAAATGGAAATGGGCACACGTACTTCTTTGATATTGGTCGCATCAGAACCAATGGAACTGTTTTCATCGCTTGAATTGTTAGCATATGTGGCTCCAGTGTGTACCGCCTGTGGCATATATGCGAGAGCTGCACGTGGATAGACTTGCTGGTTCATCCGTTGCTGTTGCTGTTGTAATTGTAACACTTTGGCCGCCGCCGTCGAACCATTCTGATTTGCATTCGCATGTGTGCCACTATTATTGTTGTTGTTGTTATTCTGTGTATTTGGTACCAGATCGGAGAAGATGCCCAAACCCTCTTGATCTCGAAATTGATCATCAATTAAATGTTGAAGATCTAAGCTAATTTCCTGAGACGTCAACTCTTCGAGATCACTTTGTGCGGAATAATGCTGTAGTATTTGCTTCTGTAGCAGCACATTATTATTATTATTATTATTGTTATTATTTGTATTGTTATTATTATTATTGTTGTTGGTGGCCTGTTGCAAATGCAATTGTCCTTGTTGCTTGTTCACAATCAGACCATTATGGTTGAGCGTGCCGGCCGTTTGGTTTGTATTTTGATTGGCTTGATTTTGTGCACCACCACCATTGCCACCATTACCATTCACCGATGCACCGTTATTGTTGTTTGTGGCCATTTTTTTAATATCCATTTGGTTTATTGCTTGCTGTTGCGGACTATCATACATTTGAGGTGATTCCATAGCTGCACTTCAACAACAACAAATCACAGCCGACACACAGACGGCATAATTTGAATTCGAACGGAGATACGCAGGCACTTGATTAATTTTCGATGTGTGTGTTCTATATTTCGTTTCTTTCTCGTTTTATTTCTCTTTTTTTATTCGATAAATTCTCTTCGTTTTTTTTCTACTCTTTTAAATCACCTTCCGCAAATTTGGAAGGTCTCTCACTTTTTATTCTCAGCCTGACACCGTTAAATTCACTTTCCGTCGAATTAAATCCTTTTTTCGATGTTATTGATTTGTTTCTTTTTTGCTCTTTTTTCTTTCTTCTTTTGTTGCAAACTTCACAAAGTCAACCACTTGACTCGGTGCCTCTATTTTTCTCTTCTTGATTACTGCTTTTTATTTTCATTCGCTGATTGCAATCAATCAATTTTACTTCGTAAGTATTTTTCTTTCGTTACAGTAACAAAATAACAACAACAACAAACACTTCAATAATTTTCTAGTCAAGTTTTAATCCTTTGTGTTGCAAAAATAATCCACCGTTGAATCAGTGATTTGAATGAAAATAGAAATGCACTCGGTTTCGGTTTGTCATTCGTCGTCAAAATGTTTTCGTCGTTGACTTATTGTTTTTGTTTTCTGATTGATCTTCTTTTTTTTTGTCGCAATAAAATCCCTTTATTCAATTACACTTTGGATGATGGAATTGATTTCGATTTAATTGTTTTATTCGATTTTTCGTTGTTGGTTTTGTTATTTTTTTTTTAATTCGAAAATTCACTTTCAGACATTTTTCATTTCCCATCAACACATTTTATTAAATTTTCCGCAAATTCTGTTTCAATTTGCAAATAAAAGAAGAAAAGAAGCAAATAAAAGAAACACCCGAAAATGGTAAGACACACGGAAAAATAGCCAAAAATCCAGCAAGAGGCCAACGAAACACAACGAAACGGCGGAAAAATTAAAAAAAAAACTGTTGTAAATATGTTCAAAAAAAACAGTATGCGCTCGTATCATATGTATATCAATGTAATATATCAGCTCTTTCTCAGATGTGAGCAGGCGTAAAACTTTTATTCGACTGAAGTCTTAGGGCTATGATGCAACTGATTTTATATATATGCTAATACACCGAAATGCTTGAAACACTGTTTTTCATTTCTTTCTTTTTTTTTCTTCACAATGAGCAAAAACGAAAATAACGAATGAACGAACAAACGAAACGAAACACAGGCGAACCCGCACAGAGACGCGACACCGAAGAGAGAAGTACAGCACACTGAGAGAATGTGTACGATATGTGTGAGTGTAGTGTGTGTGTGCGCGCGCGCGCTTCACTTGCTCGCTTCACCAGAAAATCCAAATGCGCTCTCGCTGAGGACTCAGCCGAAAGAGAAAATGCGGTTTTGTGTGTCGGAAGAAATTTGAATCGCTTCGTCGGTGCGCGCTACTCACTGCTGTTACTGCTGCTGCTGCTGCGCTCTGTGTATTACTGTTACTGCTGCTGTTACTGCGGCTCGCTTTGTAATAATCGCACAAGTGAGGAGGAAAAAAAAAATACATCAACGAAATGAAGCGATCGCTTACATTGCACACGGAGAGTAAACAAGAGAGAGAGAGAGCGCAACAGAAAGACTTGAATGTAATGGAAGCGAAGCGATGTTGGACTGACTGTGTGACTTCACTGAGCGCACATAACTTTCTGTCGATTACTCCGTGCGTACTATACACAACAAACGACACTGTAATGAGAGAGAGAGGCCCCCAAAGCGCGCGCTAAGCAAAACAAACGATCGAACATACTGAAGTACATACTGAGCTCGAACAACGCTCTCGTACACACTTTGTGCTCTCCCTCTTTGCATGTGTTTCAGTTTTGGGAGCGAGAAACGGCGCGTATGGTCTGGTGGTATTTCTGGTACGGTATGGTAAGTATTTTGTGCATTCGCTAACAACCGAAAACCTTATCAAATTCCTAACGATCCAGCCAAATTACAATACGAATCCAACCACAACGATGACGACAAGCTCGACTAAAAGAGTTGGACGGCTTTTGGCAAAGGAAAAACAATGTTCGAAGTCGAATTCGTCGTCGTCGTTGTCACATACCGCAAGCTCAATGAGCTTATTTCTCTATCGTTCACCACTGCACATGCGACAGTTTTGTGCAAGTGTAGGTGTGCAAACACCGTTGCTTGCACATTTGGCCGCTATACTGGTGTGCTGTGTGGTGTGGAATTTAAACTTTTTCTAATTAGTCTGCGTCGATACACATTTGCACAAATGAGTTCTGTGTTTTACTTTTTTTGATAACATCAAAAATTGCATGCGGCCAAAAAATTATTGATAATTACGGTTGACGACAAATTCATACCTGTAGCCCGTTCCCCACCACCCAGTCTTCAGTTGCAGAAAAACGCATAAACAGCTAATGATCAATTCTCTCTTTCTCTCTCTCTCTCTCTCTCTCTCTCTCTCTCTCTCTCTCTCTCTCTCTCTCTCTCTCTCTCTCTTTTTCTCCCACTTTCGTTCTTTGTAACACATTGATTCACTTGCCACGGCCATATACTCTTTCACGCTAAACTCATTCATGCAACCCAAACAGAACATTAAACAATAGAAAAATAGTTGACAAAACAAAAACACGAACAATTTATTTCGATCATGTTCAAGACATGCATTGCACGACAACGACATCGACATCGACGACCACGAGAACGACAATCGATGAAAATAAGTTTAATTACTTAGTAGGCAATTCAAGCAGCGTTTGCAGCTCGATTCCGCTTTGCGCCTCTCAATCGCAGCACATTCGTTCGTTTCAATTTTTCCAAATGCATCATAATTGTTGAATTACAACGACAACGACCGTTGTGCGCGTGTTTGTCATTGTATGTGTGTGTCGCGATGTGCGCATACTTTTCGGCTCTTATTAACGATCGCATTCAAAATTTCGGTGCCGAAGCACTTTTATGTTGGAAGGCAAATTTTAATTTCCCTGTCCAATTCGCTCTCGCTTCAACTTACTCCCTCTCTCCCTTGCGCTAGCACTCGCCGAGTGCAAAAAAAAGTCTTTTGCCAGCATCACATTAATCAGAATCTCAAGACAGCCGAAACAAAAAGTAATAATTTATTACCGACTTTGAGAGTGCGCGACGCAAACAACAAAATATTCGACTCAATGATTAAATTACACTTTTTTCCATTCTCTCGTGTGTTTTTTTCTGGTTCAAATCGAATTTCGTATAATTAAATTGCATTTTGCGATTAAATAAAACGCATTCATACACCATTACAACGTGTTACGTGTCGTCACTAAACATGGAGAGCGGTATAGCGCACAAACAATATATAATTTCAGTAGCAAAATTTGTTCGATCCGTCTCATGCTCGCCAAACTGTTTATAAATACGATAGCAATAGCCAAAGAAATAAAAAGAAAAAGAAAAGATCGAACCAAGCAGCAACAACAACCGCCACACAAAACTGATAACGAAAACAGCAAAAATCGGACGAGCGCCGATGCAATTGTGTGACGCGCAAAAATTGTGTGCGATCGATGCGAAGGAAAAAGAAGGAAAATGTCCAGCAACCGAAACATTCGATTAGAGAGACAGAGAACACGAGTAGAAATGTTTTGGTTATTTCGGAGTACAATTCGGGGTACAATCAACCCACACGAGAGACACAGAAAGTGTAGTCATCAGTAAAGGGCAATGACAAAAACACATTTTCGATGAGGTGAACTTTTTTTTGGCCATTGCAATGAAGTAAACGATTTTGTTTGTTTTTTTTGCAGCCAATCGATTCAGACTTGCAATCTTATGGCTCATACAGAGATGACTTTAGCGCACCCGAGTATTTGTGTTGTTTTTTTTTGTTTTTTTCTTCGTTATACTTTACCATTTTGGTCAAAGGAACTTTGTATCAATATTTTGTGTAACATAACAAAGAACAGTTTTTTGAAAAACCACATTTATATTAGTAAAATATGAAGAAAAAATCCCCAAAAGTAGAAATTTCGTAATATTGTGAAATTGAGCCAATGCGCGTAATTACTAGGTGTATATAACTATAACTGCACAGCTAATAATATATTATTAATTATTATTAATACTATATTATTAACTAGGCAGTATTAACAACTGATACGTTATTAACATCGCCTGTTAATATCGCTATTACTTACTAGTTAATAACAGTTAATACCGATAGTATGATCATACTATATTATTATGATTTTTATGATAATATTTTATTAACATCCATGTTAATAATTATTAACATATCTGATGACATTTATTAACATCGCTGTTAATAATATGATAACTGGAAGGCTAATTTCGCAATACTGATAAGAGATAGCGTTTCGGTGTCTTCGGCAATGTTGTAGTACTCGTCGTCCTCTACAACTTTGCCTCAGATTGATATCACTTATCTCTTATCAGTTTACCGGAATGATAAGAAAAAGAAAA